AAAAAAAAAAAAAAAAAAAAAACATACGGTCGAATTGAATACCTCCTTCTTTTGGGAAGTCGGTCAATTAATTATAGTTCGGCTAACATTTTCGTCTATTTTCTTATGGCAGCACCAAATAGTTTCGTACCCGTCGGGGATCTATCTACTTATAATAATAATAATAAATAATATAGCCTTTTATTCTGAAATTAGATTAAATATAGTGACTAATAGTATGTCCCTAATTTCAGCGTGCTTCTTGGCATAAGCCTCCTCCAAACTCTTTCACTGTGTTCTATCTCGCGTAACTCTTCTCCAATGTAGACCGGCAGTCAACCTTAAGTCGTCCTCCCACCTTATTTGTTACCTTCCGCGACTCCTTTTTCCACCCCTCGGATACCATTCGGTTACCACCTTGCTCCATTTGTCTTTTGTATCACGTATCATGTGCTTATTACATGTGTAATTAATTTAAAATATAAGATGTAATTGACATTAACAAAGTTTAATTTTAAACAGTTTATAGAGTAATTTTAGATTTTGCGTAATTCATATCAAGTAAGTCGTATGTCCATTGCAGTGAGCATATTCGGTACATTTTAATATTTAACTTCTTTTCCTATTTGTGATTTGACAGTGGTAGAGCCCGCTTTAACATCTTCGCACGAATGGGCCGGCTCGCCCGGTGCAATACCACGACCACACAGAAGCCAGGCGTGAAGTGGAAGTCATTCCGCGTTTCGTCTGATGAGTGTGGTGCCGGAGGCCCAAACCCCCCTGCCCCCCCATAATACAGCATGCCAGTGGGAAGTAAAGAGAATTTACCCCAGGGGGGTACCAACACAACTGTTGTTGGAGAATCCCCCCCAGCGCGCTTTCGCTTGAACTCCCACATGGAGTCTGGGGGTGGGCGCGCTGGCCGCCCTGCGTACTCTGGGGTGGGCAACAACCCGCTCGTGGCTGGAGCTCGGGGCAAACGCAAGGGTCACCACACGGCATCCCCTTCCACACTCGCCGTGGACTTCTGTAATATTAGGGGACTCCACTCAAACTTGGATGCCGTCCACTATCACCTACGGACGGCAAAGCCGGCCCTGCTTTTCCTCACTGAGACGCAGATATCCTCTCCGGCAGACACATCGTACCTCTCCTGCCCCGGTTACAAATTGGAGCATTCCTTTTTGCCCCGGGCCGGGGTGTGCGTGTATGTCAGAGAGGATATCTGCTCTCGTCGCCTCAGCCTTCTTGAAGGTAGGGACCTATCTATTCTATGGCTGCGCGTAGATAGCGATGACCATCCGCGAGTCTACGCGTGCCTCTATAGGTCCCATAGCGGTAATGCCGAAATAGACCGACTCATGGAGCAGGTCCAGACGGCTGCAGATTCCGTTCTGGCTCAGATCCCCTCCGCCGAAATCGTGGTACTTGGCGACTTCAATGCCCATCATGTCGAATGGCTTGGCTCTCGTACCACCGATCACGCGGGGAGATCTGTGCACAACTTTGCCTTGTCATATGATCTGACGCAGCTGGTTACCTCGCCAACGCGAATCCCAGATGTGGATGATCATACACCTTCCCTGTTGGACCTTCTGCTGACCTCACATCCGGACAGCTACTCGGTTTCCGTCGACGCCCCACTGGGCTCGTCGGACCACTGCCTGATCCGGACAAAAGTGCCGGTCTCGCGTCGCCCACGGTTCAAACCGAATGGCTCCCGCAGAGTATGGCACTACAGGTCAGCAGATTGGGATGGGATGCGGTCCTTCTTTGCATCCTACCCATGGGGGCAAGTCTGCTTCAAGCTGGATGATCCCGATGCCGTTGCCGATTCTGTCAC